TAGTGAACGTTTTTACTAGATTTTGGATGAGTTTAGTTTTCTTAAGATTTCTTTGTCTTTTGTCTATCAAGTAAGACTGGAACTAGAACAGTAACGGTTTTTATTTTGAGAGGAAACAGGTGCTTCTCGTGGACGGTGGACGGGTGGGACGAGTGAGGTGGACGGTACAGGTGGACGAGTGAAAACGAGATGCTTCACTCGTCCATTTGTTTGTGATTGACAAATTCTCCATTTAAATGCCAAAAACACATTGATTTTTCATGTCTGGATTTGGTTGGTTTTTCGGGGAAAGATATCCTTTCTAGTTTGATGGCTAAATGATGGGGTTAAAGAGAGAGAAAAGAATGGGGAAAGCATGGTGAAAACTGAAAGGACTCGACCCAAATCACGAAAAATGAGTTTTTCCTCTTTGGGGAAATCAGGGATTAGATTCTTTTTTCCTTCGATGATCGATGAAGAAAAGAAGCCAAGAATCGAAATCGTTATAGTTGAAGGATTCTTGGAGGAATCAAGCGAGAAAAAAGCGAGAAAAAGCGGGAAAAAGCTCTGATTTTTCTCAGTTTTATATCAGCTTATTATCAGTTCGATTCGAGACTGGATAAAATTCGGCTAAAAAGCATGGGAAAATGAGAAAGATCAAGGGTTTTAGCCTAGTTTTAGCCTTTTCCATTTTTTTCATTGGAGATTGAGCTTAGCTTTAAATTGCTTGTAAAGCCGATCGAAAACGATAATCGTGAGCCGAATTGTATTAACCCATTTTCCACCGGGAAAAGGCTATCTTTTGATCAACATCAAGATTATATCAAGAAATCGATTTTCACAGCGAAAACGTAAACTCTTTGAGCTATACTAACCTATGGTACTAACCTATAGTTACACCTAAACTCTGGATGAGCTCTTTTGAGCTCTTTTGAGCCCCCATTGAGCGTAAACTCTTTGAGCTATACTATGGTGCTAACCTATAGTTAACCTAAACCCCAGATGAGCTCTTTGAGCCTCATGAGCGTAAACTCTTGAGCTGAGTACTATGGTGCTAACCTATAGTTAACCTAAACTCCTAGATGAGCTTATTTAACCTAAAACTAAACTCTAAACTTATCACTATTTACCATGAAGGTGCCCTCGGCCCTTCAAAATTGTCAATATTCCAACCAAAAGAATTGAATCTTCAAATTATTAGCATTTTTATGCACACTAAAAGTCCTACCAAAGTTCTATCAAAGTCCCACTAAAGTCAAGCTTTTTGCTTTTTGAATAAAAGCAAAATTTTGACCTTGGTGGGACTCAAACCCCGAAAAAGAACACTCGAGTAGTTTTGGAAAGCAACTCCTTATCCATTAAGCTCATGGTTTCGCCCGCGACAGAGAAAGGCTTTGTTCTCTCCGTTCTCTCCGTACTCTCCGTACTCTCCGATATCTCCGTTTTTTTAAATTCACAATCGAAATTTATATTGAAAATTAAAAGTATAACTTTATCAGATCGGAAGCTTTGGAGTTGAATTTTTCAAAAGACTTTCTTCTGAACTGCTTCCTAATAGGTCAAAAAATTTGAGCTCGAGGTGGTTGTAAGAAGTTGTAAGAAGTTATAAAGCCAGCTTTCTAGCGCACTCATTATCAGTTTATTGAAATCAAAACTCGTTTTGCGAGCGCCAGACAAGGAGTGTTTACATGCTACATCTACATGTTTACATGCTATATCTTACATAAAGTACATCCTGTACATAAAGCACATAACGTACATAAAGTACATCCTGTACATAAAGCACATCCTGTACATAAAGTACATTCTGTACATAAAGTACATAACGTAAATAAAGCACATAACGTAAATAAAGTACATCCTGTACATAAAGCACATCCTGTACATAAAGTACATCCTGTACATAAAGCACATCCTGTACATAAAGCACATCCTGTACATAAAGTACATCCTGTACATAAAGCACATCCTGTACATAAAGCACATCCTGTACATAAAGCACATAACGTACATAAAGTACATAACGTAAATAAAGCACATAACGTAAATAAAGTACATCCTGTGCATAACGTACATAGAGTACATAACGTACATAAAGTGCATGAAAGAAAGAGCCTAATCTAGACGCCTAGACAGTTGAAAGGATCAGAGGAAAGCCCGCTTAAAGTGAAAGGAAAACCCGCTTAAAGTTCTCTAGTCAAAAACTTGTGTCTAGTCGATCTCTACAGTTAAGTCTTTGGTCACAATGATTGTATAAGATAAGTAAAATGTATTGTATAGGATAAGTAAAAGTATTGCATAAAAAAAAAACAACTCACATTGAAGCACAGATTGATGAGGAGTATTCGAAGCAACGGGCTGTGCTGGCGCGGTATTTGGGCAGCTCTTGCCAAAGCGTTCCCTAAAAATGAAAGTTATTCACCGAAAATTTTCTCCCCATACACAAAGCACAATTTGTTTAGTTTAGTCGAACACTGTTATTTCAACTACAACTTGAAAAGACACGGATTGCTATTGGCATTTTGGAAACTCCGAAAAACCCTTTGAAAAAAAACTTGAAAAAATTTTAAGAAAAGCAAAGAGAGCTCTTTCTGAGAAAAGGAGCTGAGTGAAATTAGCTGAAATTTTTTGTGGATGTGAAGAAAATGGCGGAAGGGAAAAGGGAAATGATCAAGATTGATCAATTCGGGAGTTGAAAAGCTGGTGATGTTTTGGGTACAATGAGCACTGATGACAATTTAGAGTTGTGAACGTTTGGTTTGTCCTAGCTCTAAAGTTGGGAATCTAGAGCTGGGAACTTAGAGCTGGGAACTTAGGGCTTGGAATCTAGAGCTGGGAATCTAGAGCTGGGAATTTAGAGCTGAGAATCTAGAGCTGGGAATTTAGAGCTGGGAATTTAGAGCTGGGAATCTAGAGCTGGGAATTCTTAGCATTAACTTAAAGCTATTAACTTAAATTCCTTTAAACTCATATGCCAAATTTGAAAGAGATTTAAAATTGACATTCAGGTCGAAGAAATTGACATTCAGGTCGAAGAAATTGACATTCAGGTCATCGTAATCTTCATCGAGATACTCGATTAGATCGATCTGGAAGCAATGCTAGCGCTTCGAAAGTCTCAAAGAGCAGTTGCAGCTTACGAGTGAAGCTTTAAACTTTCGAAGCTCCAAATGGAAGCTTCGAAGCTCCAAATACAAAGTGCATTCTACATTTATTAGATTGAAATTTAGCGTAAATAAGGATTAAACTCTAGTTAAGCTTAAAACTTAAAAGAAAAGGTCAACAGATTGAGCCAAAAATTCGAAATGACATGCGAAATGACCGAAAAATGCCGAAAATGTCGAAAATGCCGAAATTGACATGCGAAAAGGCACAAAGAACGCTAGAAAACAGTCTCCTTGTAAAAAAGCAAAAGCAAATTTTCATAACGGGCTCGAATTTGAGAGGTCTAGCTTTGGAACCGAGCGCTCTATCACCCAGCTCAAGACTGACGTGAACCCAGGCCCCGAAAAGTTCTCTATGACCCAAATAACCTCATTTCAGAAGCTTTAAACGTCTTTGGCAAAACAACATCTTTAACAAAACTTTATACGCTTATAACTCTTAGCAGATTTACATTTAGCAAAAACGGAGCACGTATTCGGAATCAGCGTCAAAATTCTGCGTCCAATTGTATGATCGTATGTCATTTGGCTTTAGCCTGTTGACCATCCCTTGTTAGTTATAGTTAACACGTTGACGACATTGTCACCTGATGCTGTCCATCACATATTCGTTCGCCTCGGACATTGTCACCTGATGTCAGGTGACATTTTTTGTCGAAAAAAAACAACGTTGTCCCATGCGATTGTTTGTACAAAAACGCCATTGTCGTCAACGTGTTAAGCTCAAATCCCATGGATTCACAGAGATTATCATCAGTGCCATTTCACAAGAAATTCGAAAAACCGTGAAAGCGCGAATGAGCGGTGTGAAATTTTAATGTATAGTGCTAAAAAGGTTTTGGCGAAAATGGAAAGCCGAAAAAAATCTTCTTTGGCCCACAACTTCACCTGGGCACACGGAGATGGGGCACAACAGCCGCCACACATAGAATAAATGGATAAAATTTGAATAAATGATAATTGGGAATTTGAAAACACTTGAAAATTGGTCGGTGGAAAAGGTGGTTGGGTTTCACTTACGCCTTGTTGTGGAGGGTGTAGGATGGGCCAGCACTGTAGGCTCGATTGGCTGTCGTCAAGGCAGTGAGAGACTTAGATTCGGAAATTTATATGAAAATTATAATTCTCTCTATAACGTCTCTATAACGGAACTCTATAAAGCGGAAAACTCTATATAACGGAATGAAATTTTGATCCCGGCCGACGCTAAGCTAAATATAACGGCACTCTATATAACGGAAAAATTTTTTGGTTTTTTTCATTCCGTTATAGAGAGTTGACTGTATATATAAAAGTATAGTTGACTCCTCACAAAGTTTCGTCTACTATTAAATTGAATGAGGTTCATCAATTAATCTAATCAAGCTTAAATTCACTACCACTTCCCAAGCACCATGGTAAAGTAGAGAAATGAAAGGGAAAGAGATTCGAACTGGGAATTGAACCTTGGAATTGAACCCTATTCTTCTGATCTTCTGACCTATTCTTCTGATTCTTCTGATCCTCAAATATTTCTCTTCATTTTGATCCCTAACTTAAGTAAATTAGCCTGTGAACGTTTTTAGATGACCTGGAAGTGAATATAGGAAATAGGGAGGGAAATTAAAAAGCTGTTAAAAAAATGTGTTAAAAGTTAGGTAGCTTATGTGTTATTGCTAGCAACTCATTTTTGTTTACTTCTTGCGCTTTTACTGTACCGATCATCTTATCATTTTAGCTCTTCTGGTCGATTTCAGTTATTACCGGATTTCCTCTAATAAACGCCCGACCAATTTTAGACACCTCGTGCTCAGCCCCATTTTGAGATATTTTTATTGTTAATATACCAAAAAATAGAAGAGATTAAGGGCTATCTTTTGGTATATTAAAATAAAATATCTCAAAATGGGACTGAGAACAAGGCGCCTAAAGTTGGTCAAGGCGGGGGGGAGGTTTAAACGCTTTCAAGGTTTAAACACCTCGTTCTCAGTCCCACTTTGAGATATTTTTTATGTTTAATATATTAAAAGATAGCCCTTAATCTCTTCTATTTTTTGGTATATTAACCTTAAAAATATATCAAAGTGGGACTGAGAATGAGGTATCTAAAATTGGTCGAGGGTGGGTGCGTTTATTCGAGCTAATACGGTAGCTTCTTTGTAAGCAATAAATTCCTATCTAGAAAATCAATACACCATAAAAATCGTCTGGAATTAAGGCCACACATTCGACAATCGCCCGTTTTTTTCCCCCAGATCTCCAATTGAAGAAACGAAAGTGAAGTGAAAGTAAAGGACTTCCGTCAAGGACAGGTCAAAGAGGCGAAAAGAGAAAAGACATCCGGCCAGTGTAGCGATGAGTACCAGTACTCTCATTTTGGGCATTGCTACTAAGAAAACAGGGGTGTAGCAATAAAAGCTTCTGGCGGTTACAAACACGGAGTTCAGAGAGATGCCCGCTGAAGACACGGGGGTGGAGAGGGGCGGGGAAGCTCCCCCTCAGTCTCTCTTTGCCGGCTCAGGCCGACTTCACCCTCGTCTCTCCTCAAAATCCAGCCTCCTTTAGCTAGCCGAAGATTTTCGATATCTGGTTTTGTCTTTCTTCTTCAAGGGATCACACTCACTCCTTCATACCAGAGACCGGTTGACCCTACCGCCCACAAGGGATACACCCACAATTGCGCAACTGTCTTAGCTTTCTTCTTTTTAGCTTTCTTTTCGAAGTCGAGAAGCTTTAACTGGTAAACCGGCTTTAACTGGTAAAGCTTTGCAAACATCTCTTTGTACTTAGCAAAGATCGGTATTTGTTTGACATGGGAAACTGGTAGTAAGAAAAGAAATGGCGTCCGATGTTTGGATAAGATGAAGGAAATCATCCTAATCGTTTCATGCGTTTTGGTTTAGAATCTTTGAAAATGTTTGAAAATGTTTTTTCATTCAAAAACAAAGTTTTTCCTTGATCAGTTTCGAATATTATGAGCCTAAAAGCTCTTATTTATCTCTTATTTATTTCAAGTTTCAAGTTTAGTTCAAGTTCTTATCATGAGATTTTTGATTTTTCTGATTTCAGCGCAAGATCAACTTTTTAAATAGGCATTTTTGAGTAAAACTGACCTCTAATTCTGACTCTCCATGTATTTTTCGTCTAAAAAAGTATTTTCGAAAAGATTAGGCTTAGCGCGCGCACATACACTACAGGACAATGAAGTATGATATTTGAAAAATGATCGTCACTTTCGCGCGTCTGCTTAACTCCCTTGTCTTTACCGTATTTCTAAATATTAATATTACCATTGTGTCAGCCCTTGAAAAGAGCTTTCAGAGAATGTATAACACTAATAGTTTAAACTCAAAGACAAGGGGGTGACAGACGCTGCGCGAAAGTGATGATCTTTTTCAAATATCATATTTCATTGTCCAGTACTGTAGCTACTCAAAAAAAAGTTCGGAAAAGGCTATTTTGACCGTTTTTGACCGTTTTTAGTCCTTTTTGGTCCTTTTTGACCTTTTTTTGAACTCTTTTAAGGAGTTGTGTGCTCATAAGAGCTTTTAAGCTCATAATATTAGAAACTGATCAAGGTACAACTTTGCTTAGTCGATATCTCACAAAGAGAAAAAATACCATCGTCTACCATCGTCTAAATGATTTTAAGCCCCTGCTGTATGTTTGCAGTAATAAAAATGGAGAGCTGAGCCGGCCATAATGTCGCGGGAAATAGTTTCCCTTCCTGTGCCTTTATCATGCCATCATCTCGCGGGAAAGTTCCCTCGGCAAAAGTTTCCCGCGGGAAAGATAATGGCGTAAGAGATTTCCCCGTCGGAAAAGTTTCCTGCAGGTTTCCCGCAGTAGGTTTGCAGTTTGCGCTGGAAATTTTCCATTATACAATTTCCCGTGGGAGAGTCAGCGGGAAATGGATTTCCTTCGGGAAAGATGATGGCCAGCGGGAAATTTTTGGATTTCCCGCGGCTGTTTTCGGCGACATTATGGCACCCGAGAAAGCATTTCCCGCTGGATTTTCCCACGGGAAATGTTTTCCGCGACATTATGGTCCGGGCTCTGTATTGAGTGCATCAGAGAGGGTGCGTTTATTTGAGCAGAAAGTACACCTTGTCAGCAGTCAAGTACCAAGAGACGATTTATAAGTACAGTCGACGCTCGATTAAACGATTCGCTTCGGACGAAAATCCTGTTGATATCGTTGCCGCTTTATCGTTTACAACTGGGATTATACAGGTTGGCTGGGCAGCTACGGAGCTGGCTGGGCAGCTACGGAACTGGCTGAGGCAGCTACGGAGTGCAGAGAATGAGAATGGCAATGACAAGAATGCTAGTCCAGTCGACGCTCGATTAAACGATTCGCTTCGGACGAAAAGTTTCG